CCCGATTCGACGGCTCTTATCATAGCCGCCTTCTGATCTAGCGTTATGCGCTTTCGCTTCCCGGCTGGGGCATTCATGTTGCTGGAATCACGAGCACAGCACGATAAAATACAAGGCAGAAGCGGTCGAAAAAGAGAAGAAACACGCACGCAAAAGCAATGCGGCTCACGTCGGCGAGCGACAACACTTGCAGAGAAAGTGACTGTGAAGACAAAGGGGCAGAAGGGGCGCTCTTTTGCGCTGCCTTCTAGGAACCGGTTACTCAAGGGAAAGGGGGTATTAAGATTAGGAAGCGTGCCTCAGCGCCATGAGAAAGGGGAGAGGGAGAATATAAAGAAGACACACACAAAAAAAAAAGGGCAAGACATTCGCTGAGCTGCGGAGCGCTCCGCTATCGGTGGTAGCCAAGCGGCGCACGTGCAGCGACCTCTCCTCCGGAAACAGCGCGTGCCGTCTGCTTTGCGCGCGTTGCTGGAAGGCGCGTGGCGGGAGTTTTGAACTGCTAAATACAGTTCTCGCATTGCGCGCCGTCTCAAATTCGCGTTGTGCACTGTCGTGACATCGGCTCAAAATTTTACTTCCTAACAAAATTTGTTCGTTATATCCCATAACAGGCAAATTTTGCCTCGTTAAATTGAGGTGTTGAATACATTGGTTTGTATGGGGACTTTCAAGGGGAATTAGCATTTGCTCGTTATATCCATTATTTCGTTATAGCCCGTCTCATTATAACGAGGTTTAGCTGTACATCGATACGTTTGATGCACGATCTGCAGGTCTTAGCGTGCGGGCATAGTGTTTTCCAAAAGACCGATTGCCGAGGGCACTGAAAGAGAACGCGAAGCAACTCTATGATCTCAGTGCAATGTCCTCATGTGGTTCGCTTTACCTTCCTTGTTTGTTCGCGCACAATGGCATGCCAGCCTGAAAAGTATGGCCTTCACGATGTGCAACCTTGCGACATATTTTTTTAGTGTTTTCAGTTTCAGAACGCGTGTCGTGGGGGCTACGCTTTTTTTATTATTTCGCATCAAAGCCGCTAAAAGCAGCGGCTGCCAGCTATAAAGCCATAGTAACATCAATATCACCAACATGTCGGCAGTGAGAACTCCGACCATGGACGAAGGAACCAACTTTACTTCCTCCGTGACTCCGACGAACTCAGCGTTGCGTTCTTTGCGCCTTGAGGCCTTCTCGCCTCGTTCCTGATAAATCCTCATTCAAGAGTTAAATTGAACGTTGACCCGAATGTAGCGATAAAAATTATGACTGACGCTTGGAACGACAGCCTTGCGGGCCAGGTGACGACTTCGAGTGCGTCGTGACCGCTGACAACAGCGTACGATGCCTCAGTGAATCCTGCGACTTATCAGTGTTTCCGGGCACCATCTCGGACAGTAGCGACTTCATCAGTACAGATGACGAAGTTTCTGACTGCATCGATGCCGAGATTTTGGCTGCCGTTGCCGGTGCCATGGAAGTGTAGCGGTGTGGTTATGAATGTGCCATCGCCTTTGCTTCTGCCACAAACCAAAATTTTGCCACTCTACAAAGTTTGCATCGGCGTTCTGCGTCAATCAACATTGTGGCCGAAGGAGCTAAGTTCGCTTATTTGAAAAGCTTCAACGATATTAAGAATGACTCAAACTTTACGGCGTTTGAAGAAAGCTTTTACAATTTTACATTGATGATAGCAACGCCATCGTCTGGCACTCACAGCAGGCTGAAGAGCCCCAGTGGACGATGCAGGTAGCGTGTAAGTACGCCACACTTGTGTGCGCCGTTTCACACATTGGATGCAAGTAACTGTCATTCTCAGAGCTCTCTCAAACAGAAACCGAGACTGGTCACTAATAAACCGATAGATAAATTACCTCTTGTGTGCTACAACAAGTGATGTGCTGTGTAATGACTAGAGACTGGACTTCACGCAAACAGCTATTTTGTTCCTTGCATTTCTATTGTGCCACTTCGATATACGAGGATAAACCAGAGGTTAAGAAATGCTTTTTTAGTGTTTTTATAGTGCCTAAAAATGTCTATTTTTCGCATTCTTGCCTGAATGCTTGAAAGTTCCTATAAATGCATATTTTCAATATCGGCATCTATATGAACACTATTCAGGCTTAAATTTTGTTTTAGAGCATGGCTTGAGATCGTTATCGATGTCACAGGGCAACATCGACCTTTCAAAACTCTATGAGGTTTAGCCAAGTTCCCTATAGTTGAACCAACTTCCCAAAAAAATATCCACTAGCAGCAGTGAAATGGTACATGGCGACCACCAAACGCCACAATGCTGACATGGGGGGAGCGGTTGGAGGAGGAAGAAGAAAGGAAAAGACGCTGCTTCAACGGCCCTATATGGGAGGAGGTCTTGGCGTCCGCAGGGGATTGCGAGAGGTGTATACAGTGAAGCCTCATAACTTGGTAACTTGGTTACCACGAAATTCCACTTAACTAGAAATATTTTTACGGTCCCGTATTTTGCAATGTAAGTCTGCGCAGATATTTGGAAGCGACAATCAGCACCAGACTGAATAATTCGAAAACTTTGGGTGCCATGGGCCCAATCCTGATACCAATTTTGCTGCAAATTTTTAAAAACGACTCCCTTTAAGAGCCATAAGGCAATGCAACATGGTGATACTAATGAGTGCCAGCTGAAAAGCACCCCAGTTCCACGACTTTCAGCTCGAAAATGGGTGGGGGGGGGGGGGAATGGTCTTGTGGTCAATCACTTGCACCTGCGGAAAACAAGATGTTTTTCGCTAGGATAGCACGTCATAATCTAACCCTTCTTTCTGGCATTCTAAAGAAATTTAATAAAGGGCAGTTAGACAAAATTCGTGATGTATGCGAACTACCGATTGCTGGTGGCTCCAGCAATTCGTGCACTTGCACTGCTGGCAGAGTTCCTGCCTGCAATGCCTACTTTGAAAACTAAGTTTAAAAGCTTCAGTGATCATGTTTTCCAGCCTAGATATATCGCGAATCTCATCACAATGGCCATTATTGAATTCTTGTTTTTACCAGAAAGAATGGGCGAATGGTCACACCATGACATGCCAACGCAGCGAGAAGCAGGCGACATGCTGCCCGCGTGTCACCACTGTGTCACAGTGAAGCATGTCTTGTTTTTTGCAGGCGCACAATTTAGTTGACCACGAGAGCGTTATCATTCTTTTATCTTCCTTTTCTCTTTTATTACTCGGTGACAGCAGTGAGACCCACCATTAATCCGTGTTTTAGGCAAAGAACAAGACCAGGTATTGCAGGAAAACATAACCCTTAGAGCAGCAAACTAGCTGGCACAGCAAACGACCTGCTCTTATTACTTCAAATAGTAATTCCAAGTTCTTTGCATCCCACTTCTTGTATGTTCTGTTGATTCGAAAACCCGCTTAATTTGAAGATTTCTCGTGACCGCAGTGACTTGGAATTGAGTTTTTACTGTACAAGGAACAAGGTGAGGTGAGTGCCCACCACGCAACGAGCGGCTTCTACAGATGGTCCAGTGCCATGAAGGAATCGAAGACGGGTGTGGCAGTGGAACAGGAGGAATAGCCATGAGAATGAATGCAAAACCATGGAGAGTGTGGATCAATAGGATGTGCTTTTGTTTTGTTAGCAATATACTTCTTAAAAGGCTGTTAACGACGTTGCCGTTAGGTATGACAGTACGTCATACCTAACGAAATGAACGTTCTGTGCATTAAGAGACTTAATAAAATACTGCTTGTCCATTTCTGTCTGGTTTATAGAAAAAATAACTGCCTGGCATTAGTACTATGGAGAATAGTGCGAATGGTTCAAAGGTTTACTTTTCGGCTCAGTTGAACGGAAAATTGTCCAATGGCCGTTGTTGCTGCCGTGGCTCCAGCTACTCTCTCTCTCTGCTGCTACTGATGTCTGCGGCCACGTAGTTGGGCACGGAAACAGTGACGTCAAAAAGATTGCTTTCATGCGGCCTTGAAATGCGCTAACATGATGCAATCTATTAGAATTTGATTTTATTTCAATATAAGCAATCCTTTGGCACAAGAGCAGCGCTAAGAGGTTTCTGGACTGCTATTTCAACAGTCAATGTTGACTTAATATTTGCCTTTATAGTCCCTTTAATGTTATAATAGGCTGGTTTAAATTTAATATAGATGCTCAAACCTCAATGTGGCCAAACCAGATATAAGTGAATTATTTTCGTTTTGTCGTCAAGTACCATTTCCGCAAAGCCACCACTCCCCCCCCCCCGCCCCCTTTTTTTCCTGTAATCTTGACTGGCTGATGGGAGGTGGGGTTTTACAGTAGGCCACTGCACAGCTTTGGTGGGCAAAACTCTAGTCCTACCTCTCCGTCATTGCTTCGACACACCTGCTTGCTGTCGCTTCATTGTGCCCACATGTCGCAGCAGGGAGCGCCCTTTCTTTTTCCCCGTTTCATTTCCAATGCTGCCATTGCGTTGGAGTGTTGTTAGCATGTTTGAACATTCACTGGTTTGATATTTCTGTGTGTCCGGGTGTCACACAAATCGTTGCACTGTTGGAGTTGTTATCGCTCGGTGCAAGCCGTGCCTAAATGCACTGGTGCCTTCTCAACTGTCGTTCACCATTCTCATTTATTGCCTGCACAACATCAAAAGCTGTGCACTTTCTCGAACTTCTACGAGCACCAGTGGTAACGCTAGAACGTGCAGTGATTCATTCAAGAGATGTACTCTGTAGGAAGTTGCAAAATTATCAGAATTTCAGCTCTTAAGCATGAAACAGGTTTCACGCATTCATTCACAAAATTAAAAGTACATCATTTTTTTCACTGCTTTCTTAAAACTCAATAATTCGGCCCTTACGAAGTCCAACTGAGAAATTTTGCTGCATTGGTGAGTGCACTTCAGAGCCACCCTGCCAGTCATTGGGGAACAGACTCCCACCCTTCTCATGCTTTCACTCTGTTACGCAAGAACAGATGTTCAAGAGCAGCACTCAAGAGGGGAGCGAACCGACCTGTTCAGAGATGGCCCGCCAGCCAAGATCATCACGGCGATCACATTCGTAGGTCTCCCCGAGGAGTGGATTGAAGGGCTTGCCCGTTCGATTGGACGTGGTCGCATATGACGACACTGCAAAGGCTGCTATGTACACCAGCTGCAAGGCAGGGTCGTCACATTGTGCGGCTTGGTCCAACAGCTCCGAATACTCGTAGTCCTCTGTGAGCCGTTGTAGTGTGGATAGTGGCTCGTTGAAGTTCACCTGCACACACGCAAAATCCCTTCACAATGCCATCCCATGGCATTAGGAGCAATGAACAGGACACCAGTAGGTGCTGTTTATGCATTACAGTAAAATTTCTGGGATGTAAATTTCACTCAACACATGACCTCTATACCATTCAAGGGTGCATACATATAATGGTACAAAGTCAGCAAGATAAAAGCTCTCTCAGAGCGATTTAAGGACACAAAAAAAAAGTTTCAAGTTACCTGGAGTAATAAAAATTAAGTAACCTCAGTGATATGAACCTCATGGCATCACGAAAAGTATTCATAACAGCCAAACATTGTATCATTAAAGAAACTTTGAAAACTACCATGCCAAAAACGTGCAATTAAAAAACACTAGCTATGCATTATGTACTGTTTCCCAGGCCTGCAACATCATCACAGACATCTCTGGGTGCATTAAAGATGGATCGTTTTACCTTCCGGTGTCTCTGGTCAACCTGTCTACCAGGCAGAGGTGGCTGAGACACCTGCACAATGTGCCTTTCACTCCAAAGTTGTTATCCATGACTAGCCATAGGGATACACTTATCACTTCGAAAAAATTAGGCTTGTGTGAACAGTGAATTTTAGGTTTGAAGCGAATTCGAAACGCTAGTGATTTCAGTCGAATACTTTTGAATCAAATTCGAATAGTATACATATCCAATATTATAAAGGAAAATGGGCATATTTGTTGTGACCAAACTAACCTGTACAATATTATTTTTCATATTGAAGCAAGGCTTTTGCAAATGCTATTTTTTGCATTAAAACATTATGAAATTCGATAATGTCTTGCCTTTTGGTACGGGAATTGAAAAACAAAGTCGCCACCCAAATTTTTTTTTTTTTGCCAATTTTCGCTCTTACTAAAAGTGTTCTCACTGTAAACTTCAGAATTGTGAAAGAGCAATTTACTAGCAACAAGATTTTTCTTTTTTGTGTCCCTTCAATAAATTAAGATAGTTTATTTGCCACTGGAAATAATTTTACTCATACATGTTACACAGCTGCATAGTCCTGCAACCATTTGCCAATAACTGCCTTAAGTTCTGTTAATACAGCTTTTGCAAGTTTCCTAACGGGGGTATGCTTAACGAAACTCAATGCAAAACACCAAGCCCGCATAACTTGAGGATGCCAACTGCTACAGCTATGTTATCAGACATTGTAAATGCCTCGTTAATGAGCAGTTGAGGTCATCAGTGGCCTCTTGGTCATAACAATGGGCAGCAAGCAGAAGGAAGTGCCAGCCCGCTTTCTCTACTCACCGGCATCGGGATCTTGGTGAGTTCCTTGCCGATGCAGTTCTTCATGATGGACCAGAGTGAAAGGCTGCACGACGGTTTTTCTGGAATGCGAGTGCGTCGTTTCCGGACACTGCCACCACCCTCTGCAGAGGGCAGTATGGCCATGCCATTGCCTTCAGAATACGGCGGATCGACAACCGGCGGCGGGTCGCTACCACCACCAGACGATGACACAGCCGGCAGGGGCGGCGGAGACGACAAGGGCTCCAGCTCAGAGTCGGAGTCAGAGTTTCGAGAATCAGAAAGGCCGCTCAGTCCACTGGCCGAGCGCCGATGCTTCATTCGTGATGCCGACTCACTCGATGGCATCGAAACTACAAAGCGGTGCTCGAGGCCTGTTGCACCCGTGGGCGAGTGCTCAGGTGCGTCGAAAAACTCCTCGTCGTCAGAGTGAGTGGCTGCCCCACCACCGCCCGAGGAAGGTGCACTGGCCTCCTGCGCTGCACGCTCGAGCGACGAATGCTGCTTGGCAAGCTGCTCGACCATCTCCTGGAGGCGGAGGCACTGCTCGTGCTCGTGTTGCAGCATGCGCACCCACTTGCGGCCCTGGCTCTGGGCCAGCTGGACATACTCACTGCAGGCCTGCACACATTCACCCTGCTATTCCCAAGCTTCTTTAAAACCGTCTGCTGGGGTTCATACTTGCTAGGAAAACTCAAACTAGACATTGACATCTGCAGAATGGGTTCACTACCAACAATGGGTTTTATCTGCAGCGACAAGAGTGAATAGTAAGGAAGTAGAGTGACAAGCTGAGGACGCACTAGTCACTAAGTGTTGAAGTCTACACTGCTGATTTTATTCATCATGCCTGGGCAATTGTGGCTTCTGTGACCCTATGCACTGTCTAGACTCATTAAGTGGAACCTCAAGGGTCTAGAAAAAGAAATGTTCGATTTGAGGGTCTAACTTTGGGCTAGTCGGTTTGTGCATAATGAAGTACGTACAGCGCGAACTCAAGACAGGGATACTAAAGAAGAGACGCAGACAAGCGCTTTTCTGTGTCCCTTCTTTAGTATCCCCGTCTTGAGTTCGCACTGTACGTGCCTCCATTTAAGGGGAGACACGGGTCTCGAAGGCCAAAAAATTTCTGAAAAATTGATGTTCTGAACTATTTTTTTTAATTATATCAGGGTCTGAAGAAGGTGTTCTTAAAATGCTATTGCCATGGAATGCGTATTTGTCGAGTAATTGAGTCTCAAAGTCAGTTTTGTGATCATTTCCACTCACAAAACCACGTAAAAAACGGTCATATTCAGCGCGGCGGTGCCTGAGAACCACACCAAGTAGCGCAACCAATTTGGTCTCATTTGACAGAAGTATTTTTTGTCTGTTCCTTGTGAAAGAATGCTTTTCGTCTAGCAACAACGAAGCTATCTCGAATAAAGAAAAAACAAATACACGCACATCATTGGTGCGTTTCTATCAAAGGGGGCAGTTCCTGGTACCCTATTGGGTGTCAGGGGATTCATCTGCTAAACAGCGGCGCGCAATCTGCCATTTTGTGACGAGGCCTAAGCAGTCTAAACAACGGCTGTGCGATCGGTGCGATGGCAGGCGGTCACCCAAAGTTCCATACGGCTCATGCATTCAAAAAGAAGCAAAAACAGCGTCTGAGAGCATGCAGAGTTTTATCAGGAAAAACCTCGGCCCCCGAGAACATGGTAAAAGCTTTCTGTGCCAACGCTATCACGAACGCGGCTCCCGTGATCACGGTTGCGATAACCAGGGCCAACGATCACACGCGAGATCTGGGCGTCGGCATTTCCCTGGTTTCCGACACTGAAAAGCGGCCCTTGCGTATCGCACAAGTGACATTCAAAGAGACCTTTTGTCGACGTCAGCCTCACGACGTGAGCAATCTGTTTTTCGAAGCGATTGTGACTACTAGAATGCCGTTCGTCGTAAGCTTAGCGATAATGAATGAATTGCTCAGTGTATGAAATGCGGTGTGTGTGGTGGGCCTGGCAACATTTCCGAGAAATATCGGGAATATGGCATCGCCATGAAACTTGTGCTGACGTGTGACGACTGTGGAGAACTGCAAACTGTACAGAGCTCGCCGAGAAAAGGGGGGGAGGAGATGCGGCGGGCGGCCTGTTCAAGATCAACATGCTCGCGGTTCACGCGGCACAGCAAACGAACAAACTGCGTTGAATTGCATTTTTTGTTTCACCCTGAATGTTTCACTGAGATGCAAAGACGCACAAAGATTACGTGAAAGTGAGAATGATTCCTGCTTCATAGAAGGCTGCTGCGCACATTAATGACTGCCCGAGTACCGTCAGAACGCTGTATGCTGATCTGAACTGTGGAAACACTAGAAACTCAAAACATCTGGCGAGCAATGAAAAAAAAAGCGCATAAAAAATGATGAGGACTACACTCCTGGTGGCTTCTAACATCATTACTGCACTGATTTACACCATTGCCTGTTGACTATACATGCTCACCGTGTCCCCAAACTTTTCTCGTTTTCTCAAAACATTTTTTATGACGTCCGAGGCCATTACCCGAAGTATCTTTTGATCTAGTGATTGAATTTTGATAATTTTTGCAGAATTTGAAACCTTATACATTGCTGAGTTAAACTATACTGAGAAAGTATGATCATTTTATTAAGAACAATGAATTAGCGGTATAATTAAGCAACAGCATCAGATTACTGATGAGTCTACTTGTTAAGGCCATAACTGTTGAACCGATGAAGCTAAAAATAAAATTATGGTTTCCTTGCACTCCCTGTTCTTTACAGCACACTGTCTTATCTAATTTGCATCAATCTTTTATGTGAAAGCTGTTTACACAGTGGGCCGAATGCAAGTTTGTGGAACAATCAATATTTTAACATCTGGAAGTGACAGCTGAAAACTACTATTTGCACATTTGTTTTCAGCTGTGAGAATTGCGTATCACAAAAATTTCAGCTCTAAATACTCAAAATTTTAAAAAAATGTCTCCCCTTAACAGGAGTCCCACTGATTGAGAAATGAACAAGGGGGCAAATTCAAGAACAATCTAATCATGTTTCATGTAATTGCATTTAAATAAGTTCCATTTACTGAGAGTATTGTAATATATATATATATACAACCTGCACAAAATAAGTCAGTTCAGAGTTTGACCTCATTCTGTTTTGTGCTTCTCGTTTCGTGTAATCTTTTCCCTAATTATGTGTAGAGACTGATAACACGTCTGTTAGTGTGGCCCCTTGCAGTACACAATGCCTGCACGGAGTCAGAAAGACCCTGTGCATTATTGAAAAAATTGCAGTGTTGCTGCGAGGGCGAAGCGATGAATGCGATAACAACAAATTGGAATGCCACACAAAAAATGGTGAGCAGATCGAAACGTGCAGCGCACTGCTTAGGCACAAATGACACACGAAAAACACACACACAGGACGAGAGTGAATGGACAACATTCACAACTAAAACTTGACAAGCCGCTCAAACAAAAACGATGCACAAAACATACTGACAGGTACAGACTAGCGCGAACTAGCAAGTGTCACTGTTATTTCCCTGTGTCTGAAAAGCGCACTTTTTTCACAAATGGGAACTGTGCAGCGAGCTAAGTGACTTTTGTGCACCCAGTAACTACAATGCAATCGTTCTGGTGAAAGCCCAAGATGTACAACTCTCCCCCACTGCAAGAAAAGCGCACATGCGCATAGACGTCTACCCCCCAGGCAAAGGAAATGTGGGAGATGAGCGCGTGAGTGCAAATCGAGGCAAGCAGGGCACGAAGTGCATCCTATGTGTCATCCTGCTGGTAATGTTGAGAACACACTGATATTTGCCTCGGAGACCGGCACCCCCAGGGGTGAGTGGTGCAATTATATAGCTTATTGCTCGCAAATTGAATGTTGAAAGATGTGCACTTTTGTGGATGAGCACATCTGATGTGTTAATGCCGCACGCAGCAGAGCGAGAGGTCTCTTATTCGATTCAGTTTTATGGAAACATTTTTCTGGATGATTTTGCTTTGAAACTTTTATAAATAAATATATAGATACATATACAAAACATGATGGCGAAAGCAAAAAACCAGCAAAGAGTGCCAATATAATTGCTATCACAACAAACCCAAAGCTATTTCAACCCCTTGTTAGACATTCCATGTAAGAGAACTAACAAACAATGATGCCACCAAAGAACAAATTAGTTGTCATTGTAATAGGAATGCGAAGAAGTAAATGTGCCCGAACTTCCCACTGGCAGCTCCCAAACCTGAAACCTTGGAATAACGCATCTGATGCTTCACCAACTGAGCTACAGTGGCGGTTGTCATTCCTCCCCCCCCCCCCCCCCCCCCCCGTCCACTTCATGGGGTATATATGAGCCTTAGATTTGGGAGTATCCTACCTCTGTCATAGTGGAGGTGTTAATGTCGCTAGATTCAAATGTAATTTCGTGCAACAAACATTTGAGAATGATGCAAGGAATGTGTAACGGCCTACCAGGTGGGCAGCCATGTTAAGCCTAACTTGAGTGCTAACAAGATAACAGTTCATGCACGGCCTCCAAGATGGCTGTCCCAAAGCATATCTCTGGAATTCGCATTCCATCTCTTTCATTTGTTTCGAGGGTTGTGAAAACCTTGACTAATGGGAAACGAAGCACGCTACGCACTGAGCTTTAGCCAATCAGCAGAGTCCGAAGTGGATAATCCACGATACATTGGGAATCATGCCCCAGGCCACAAAACATTACCTTTAATTTCAGCCATGTTGCTGAATCCTATGGGAAGCCAGCGTTGCCCAGGTCGCACGCCTACCCTTCCTCCATGCACGCCTAAAATTTACACACTGTGCCGCCTTGGCGAGATGGCAGAGAACCGGATAGTAGAGCAGAGCTGCCGCAAGGTGTACCAGAAGTATGTTTTAATGTGCACTCGCACAAGTCGCGCGTGCTGATACGCATAGTGAACGCAGTTCAACACTATCCCTAGCTTTGCCCGATGTGATTTGTGTTGTAGGAACAGCTGATTCTGGATCCCAGAGGAAGAATACACAGGAGGGGAACTTTGCTCCTTTCTGCACCGCAATTTCGTCACCCGGGGAGCAGCGGCAGCAAGGGTCAGGACAGCGCTACCTACAAAACCACTGCCGAACTGCCGCGCCAGAGCAGCAAACACGAGAAGCGCCCCGCTCTTGTCGTCTGCTTGCAGGCTTGTGCTGGCTGCTCAGTGTATCAGTGCATAGCTCAAAAACACTCGCTAAATGAGACGGTAAAGTGTTACGTGCTTTCGCTAAGTTAGCCTGAGCGCCTTGGGAGAGAGACTATACCGCGATAGTTTCACAAAGCTGTCCACAAGCGCTAAACAGGTTCGCTCTCATTCTCATATACACATGCGAGGCCAGTAATATTTGTGGCAACATGGCACATTTATCTGCGCTACTCATGAATGAATAACATGCTCGGTAACCTTCCATATTAAAGAAAAATATAACACTAGAAACCAAAAATCAAGAAAAAGCTTTTTTCATGTGTCTGTGCTCTTCCAACGTTTGTTTCAAGTTTGAATTTCGTGAGAACTATTCGTTCATGCCAAATTACAACAACGGAACACATAAAGCT